AGAGGTGTGCCATGGTTACACTCCAGAAGACAGAAAGACCCTCCCTCTCTGAGCTGTTGGTAGGTAGGGTCATACAGAAGGCAGTGTCACTAAGGAAGGAAGACTACATCTGCTACTTAAGAGATGTGGCTCCCATTCTTCAACTTGATGGAACTAGAAAGAAATCAAATAAAAAAAGCCTTGAGCCATTGGCCTGAATGGAGTAATTCCAGATCTGCTCCACCGTAACTGAGAGCAGAATCTCACTGCTTGGCCATTTCAGTGTTACTGAGTTGTCCATTCTTAACATGAAACAATAGACCCATGGGTTTGATTCTGGTCCCACTGAAACCAAGAGTAAAACTTCCTTTGACTTAACTAGGAGCAGAATCAGGGTAATCATTTAACCATCAACCCCTTCTCCCCAAAAAATATAATTAACATTAAAATGGTAAAAAAATGTGCTTATTTGTTTGGGTTTTCTGACAAACCAATACTGGATTTTTTTTAATGTAAGTTTAAAAAACTATCATTAAATCTTTTCTTTCTTCAATTACAACATTAACATTAGTGGCCCAAGCTCTGTTCTCATTCGTATCCAACAACCACAGTGACATCAATGGGCCAAATTCATCCCTGGTGTAACTCCAATATAGTAGAATGACACCAATCATGATTTTGTCTCAGTGAGGTTATATGGGATTTATGTGAGTGCCAAATTTGGCCTAGTGCCGCCAACATATTTCACCTTTCCCAACTGCAAAGCTTCAGCCTTTGGTGTCGATAAGACTGGTGCAACTCATTGGCCGGTGGAAGGCAAAACACCTGCAGAACAGTATGACACCAAAAATGTTAAAGACTCCCTGAGTTTTTCATTATCTACTTTCCCAAGAGAGAGATTTGCTGCTGCAAAAGCTTCTATAGTTCTAAGTGGATTACCTGCCAGCACTGGGTAGCATCTGCACTCCATTAGAACACAGACGTAACAGCAGCATGCCCTTTGGACTGTGATTCCTTCATCGTTTCAGCTTTATGTTGCAAATTTCATTTTTCCAATTCTTGCCAACCGATCCTTTCTGTGTATGTGTATCAGCATTTGCTGCATAATAGCTTTCCACTATCCACGTGCAGGATTCCCTTCAGGTATTGCTTTCTGTGGTCCTCAGCAGATAAAAAAGCAGCAATTTTAGCCTTTGAACTCATACCATACTGCAGTAGAGTGAAAGCAACACAATACACGTGAACCCTAGAATACCTCTGCCTAGCCAATATATCCTGTGCACCAGCTCTAACAGGCAGACTGTAGTCACACTGATTGCATCAATACAGAGTGAGAGTGCATACACGCTAGGCTAATAACCATCCTGCTTGGGAAAATTGCAAATAAGAACAAATCAAGGAAACACTGAACTCTGAATATGAAAACATCAAAAAAAAAATAATGAAAAATCAAAGATTAGAAGACAGAGAGGGTGACCTCCTTGGACTGAGCAGGGGTTGGAAGTCAGTAACTCCTGAGATCTAATTCCAGCTCTGCTATGTCCCCATCTGTAAAATGGAGACAGTGGGCCATATTCATTTCTTATGTAACTATTGTTGTCAATGGAGTTGTACTAGGGATGAATGTAGTTCACTAATAGTTACCTCCTGAGATCATAAATAAGGGGTGTCAGGAGTAATTACTTAATGTTAGTAAAGTCCTTTGACAATGTAAAATGCTAGAGTGTATGAGGGATAGCTATTGTTATCAATTTATTATTAAATTCACATGGTAGGGAAATCTGCCCAAATCCGTAACGTAAGGGTTACTGTTGCTTTAGCTGTGTTAGCTAAAGCCTACTCTGTACAGAATGTTGTGACTAAGTGCTCAATAGGTCTATACTCTCAGACTCTTTCATTATTTAAATCTCGTGTCTGGCATGCCTACATATTATTCAACTGAAATATGCATTTTGCTTTTAAAGCCTGTTTTAACCCATGAACACACTGGGCCTGATTCTGATTTCACTTATACTGGAGTAAATTTGGAATAGAGTTACTTCAGTAGAGTTACTCTTTTTAAATCTTAGCTTTCATAAATGAACACATGCGTGTAGGTCACAATATATATACACAGAAAGACACCTATAGTAATCACCAGTGGGATCATTAAAATAATTAAGCTAGGCCTAGAGACAAATTCATTTCACATCATGCTCCTTACAAAACATACCCTTCATCTTCATAGTCCAGAGAGTGTATTTTACAAACATTCTAAGGAGTTAATGAAATATTACTCTAAGTAGACTATGTCTGCATTCCATAATAGGGTCTGTATAAATCAAAACTTGACTTGTGTGGACAAATGACAGTGAAATACACTTAAAGTCCAAATATCAAGAGGTAGCACCACTTTACTGCATTTTTACAGTAGTTGACTATGACCTCAGGATATGATTTCCAATGGAATGCCACTATAGCTTCATTGTTACATAACTCCTCCACATGGGATGGTGAGTGTGCTGGATGCACAGCATTAAAAGAGAAAAATCAATAAAGGAGAATTCCCTTTGTTTTGAGTATAAAGCCACTGTTACTGTGTAGCAGTGATCACAGACAGAATACTTTACACTGTTCATCAACATGAAAACAACCTCTACCTGCACATGAAAGCTAGAAACAGGTTGCTTCTATGGCATCCCGTGGGAGAATTTTCTCAAACTATTCTGCTCGTGCTGATGCTATTCATGCTTCACTTGCAGTGCCATGTAAACTACTGCATCCTTATTCTGTGCAGCTGGTGCCACTGTGCCCTGTCAGGTGAAAGGGTAAGATGGGCATCTTGGGTCGTAGGAGCCAGAGAAGGAATGAGGAAAATCAGTATAATTCCCCGAAAGGACAAAGAACTGATCCAACTAACAGGTGTTTTACAACATCAGAGTCGGTAATAGGTCAGGATGGCACCATGAGTTGGATCCCTTTACTTCCATTGTCTGAAAGCTCTAACAATGCTTTCCAGAGCCCTGTCTGGAACCAAGAACCTGCCTGTAATGACACATTTTTTACACAGGCAGCACGGCAAGGGAATTGTAAAAGAGATGAAAGGAGAGAGGCATTTGCATTGCACTTAACCACAATCACGTTGTCTGTTTGGGAAAATAAAAGTAGAGTAGTTGGACAAAGAAGACAAGGATAGCTGAGATCTGAACCTAATATGCTGGAGATACTGCTCAACACCGATCCTTGCAAAAGTATTACCCCATAGCTGCTCCCAAAGGTTGTGAGAGGGAGAGCTCTCTACTGAATGACCATTGGTCATGTCAGTCAGACCTGTCTAGGAATGCTTCTTATGACTACAGGAGCTCTGCATTATCAGAAAAACACCTAGATTGTCCTTCCCAATATACCGTCCAAGTTGAACTGGCAAATAAACTAACATGAATGTTTAAGCTTCTCAAATTCTATTTTTAGAACAGCCCATGTTGGGGGACAGCAACATAGATACAATTTTATGTTCAGAAATCAGATAAGCTTGATCACTGCTATCAATTCTTCCCCATTATTAGCTTGTTTTCCACCCCTTCCACAAAGAACACGACACCCATTTATGCCAATGATCTCCAAGTAACCTAGGCTTGGATAGATATTAATTTGGGGGAACATGATTAGCAGAGACCAGCTAAGTAACTATTTCCTTGCAAATTCCATTAAATGCTCTGAGTAAACATCATGCCTGTAATTCACTCATGAACAGAGCTCCAGCGCTGGGATCCAGTTGATATGAGTTGCACTCCCATGGGCTAAATTCTCATCTCGGAGGCTGGCAAAAGTCCCCTCGCAGCAGGTTCTGCTGTGTAAGGAGGGGCCATGCAAGGGGAAAACACGTTGAGCACACAGCACGTTTGCCAGCACACAGCTCCCTGCATGCCCTGCATGGGCTCCCTGCATGGGCAGGGCAGATCCAGGTCTGAAGAATCCACTCTTACACAGACCCTCCTATTCCCCGCATCTCATCAAAGCATGGCATTAAGACCAGGGGGACCACTGCAGCCTCAGCAGAGTAGCTTTCTGGCTAAGGGAAGAAGATTCCTTCCCCTTCGCTTTGTCCCAGTGCCCAGCCCAGCTACTCAGGCTAGGCGCTGGCTTGAGGATTTTGCCCCTTATTGCAAGAAAGTGAGAGGGAGTGTAAAATGACTGTTCCAAGCTGTAATTGTGTCACAGTTTTGTTTTCACAGAGACCATGTCCTCATCACCATGGAGGGATCGCACAGTGCATTTCTACACTTCTTGTGCTCTGCAGAGCTCTGCTCTAGCCAGGTAGCAGCATTAGAGGCCCGTTTAGAGGAATGGCAAGGAAATGCTTACTAAATCCATTCCACCTCAGAAGCTGTTGTAAGGGTGTGTGGAGCCCTGACTGTGTATGATAACACTGAATAACATTCTGCACGTATACAGCTCCTTTCCGATGAGGATCACAAAGCATTGACATGAGTAAATTAAACTGCACAACGCTCCTGGAAAACATTATTTTACATATGGGGAAAGGGAGGCACAGTGAAGCTAAATGACTAGATTAAGTTGAATTACTTGCTTCAAAAAACCAGCAACAGAACTCGGATGTCTTAGCTTCTGGAATCAGGCACCTTGCCCCCTTTCCCCTCATTCTTCCCATGATTGTAGCAGCAGCAAGAGGGCAACTGCCAGTGTGCAGCCTCACTGCCTCAAGCCACCAGGCTGGGAGTGAGAATTCCTTTTCCCTCTCTCCAACTCATATTCACTGTGAAGTGCAACCCTCCTTTTCTGTGGTTTTATGCAGATTTTTTGTGGGGGGGGGGGCAAGCACCATTTAACCCTAATTTGGCCTTGGTCCTGCATATCTTTACCTGACAAAATTCCCCTGGAAGCCAATGGGACTTTTGCCCAAGTAATAACAAAGTAAGGCCTGGTCTACACTGGGGGGGGGGAGGGGGAATCGATCTAAGTTACGCAACTTCAGCGACATGAATAACGTAGCTGAAGTCGTCAAACTTAGATCTACTTACCGCGGTGTCTTCACTGCGGTGAGTCGATGGCTGACGCTCTCCCGTCGACTCCGCCTGCGCCTCTCGCCCTGGTGGAGTACTGGAGTCCATGGGAGAGTGCTTGGCGGTCGATTTATCGCGTCTAGTCTAGACGCGATAAATCGACCCCCGCTGGAATTGATCGCTGCCCATCGATCCAGCGGGTAATGTAGACAAGCCCTAAGAGTCAAAGGATTTAGTCCTAAATGTGAGTGAATGAAATAGCACGTTCCTTCCATAACAGTGGAAATTCTAATGTTAATCCAACATAAAACTAGGTGCACGCACATCAAATTGTGAACAAAAACTCTGTACACTTTTAACTGCTCTCGTCTGTATCGCACAAAAGCTTGCCTTAAACAGCAGAACTCCCTGTGTTTTCCTCCAATAGGGGAAGTAGGCAACTTACTGGAAGATTTGCCTTTCAGAGTAAATCCTGAATTTCTCTGCCGCCCAAAAATGAAAACCAATTTATAAGTGTGCAATCTTTATTCCATATTCTTGCCTCCTGCTCTGCTGAATGTTTGTAAAAGAGTGGCTCCTACCTCTTTATCAGTGTTCTAACTGGATTCTGCTGGAAATTAATCAGCTGAGGAAAACTGATGTAAGAGAGGAAAGTAACTGTAAAGTGGAAATTCACCTAAAAATATCCTTTGGGTTTTAACTTTAAAGTTCATAAGTTTTAAATTAATGATGCGTATTAAAAATAAAGAACCTTGTCCTGCAGTCCATGCAAAAGCAAAATGCTCATTTTGGAGTTCTGTAGGTATATGGATCAAACTCATAAAATGTTTGCATGTTGGATAATTTACTATGATATGTATCCATTTAGTGTAAGAGCTCAATTCTGCTCCACTGAGGTCAAGGAAAGCTTTATCGCTGACTAAAATGGGAAAACTCACTAAAGGTGAAATTCACAGCGGTTTGGATGGTCTGCCTAAAGTTCTTTATTTAAACCTCTTAATGGATCTGCCTGGGGGAGATGTGTGAGCTCCAAGGAGGAACAAAATACCACATGCATACCATGCAAGGTGCACTGACCCACAAGTAGACTGGTGTGGAGGGAGTGTGGAATAGCCAGGGAAGGAACACAGTATCTATCACCACGATGTTCCAATGGCCCAGAACTACTGCTCAGAGGGTACAGCCTATAGGTTTGAGTATTAGCCTCAAAGGTTCTGCGTATAAGCCTCACAGACTGTTCATGGGATAGGGACTGAATTCCATCTCCACCCTGTTTAATTCCCTGACTAAAGCCTAGAGCTTGTGTGGGAAGGGGTGGATTTCAGCCTACTTGCATGTGTACGGTATGCTTCAGTGTTTGCTAATTGCATATAATTTCCATTTTCAGTTAACACTGCAAGAATGTCCAAACGTGACATGAGATTAGCAAATAAATCATAACAATGACACTAAATTCTTTGTGTACATGCAGAAATCTGAGATATTCTCAAATGTGAAAAATCTGTAAAAGAATATATCCCACTGATTGGGACAAAGCTAGTGAAAAAACCAAGACATTCAAAACTGAAGCTAGCAGTCCCTTCTTAGCTTATGTGGCTATGGGGGAAAGAAGCACAAAGGGCTTTAGGTAAGAAGAGAGGGCTACACACTGTTCCCACTTACACTGGCATGCAAATTTGCAGTAACTCAGCTTTAAATTAAAATTTCCAGATGTTTCTTCATTTGTCCCACAAGAGGAATATTACAGAAACCTAGGAGTTTAACGCATTTGAAAGAACAAAACATATACAGTACATATAACATAAAACAAATATTAATTATCTAAGGATGTTTCTGGTAAATGTATTTAGCTGGTACAGGAGAATAATCTAATAAAGAGTGCACTCCCATCCTACCAAATAAATATTAGATTTGGTCAGAAAATAAGACAAAAATTTTCTGGGAAAATGTGTCGTTTTTAAAAAAAAAAAAAATTCAAATTTCCACAGAACAGATCAGAAAAACTTTGAGATTTTGACTAGTTCTAGTAAATATGGACTTGGGATCTAATCCTGCTCTCATTAAAGTCAGTGCTTTAGCAGCTTTTTTCTTTGCACAGTGTGCACGTGATTGAACATTATGTACAATAATAGTTGTACAATAAGGACCTTTTCTTTTTTAGGAGCTATCCCATCCTATTAGATACATAAATATGTATAATTTTCAATTCACTTTATGGACGTGCTAGAGCCTTCACAGCTCTCGCAGTCTGTCATGGAAATCTGTATTCAAGTGTCAATGTGTGAGAGGGCTGCATTAGAGGTAGCCTGGGTGAAAACATGAATGAAATTTCTAGAGGAGCTGGCTGGCAAACATTAGTGACTTGTCTGTTTTCTTTGACTGTTTTATTTAAATATGCGGCATGGACTGTGGGAGTGCATAAGAGTGTCTTTCTTTTGAATGCCTGTAACTTAAAACTACCAGTGTTAAGACTTTTTGAGAATGTATTAAACATAAATGAATGGAATATAATTAATCTGAGACACTCAGTATACAGATCCAGCCAAGGTAGAATGTGAATCTCCTTGCATATCCAAAACCCTTAATAATTTCAATTACGTTTTTTGCGGGACACGGAATACAGGATCACGCCCCTAAATTGGAGCTCTCCATTAAAACAGGTTAATAATGGAAACACAAATAAATTTACACATGACTGTCATATAAATACATCTGTTCCTTATTTTCTTAGAATGCTGGCATATATCTTTGAGAGAGATACGATAGGTGAGATAGTATCTTTGCCTTTATCCTTTGAAAGGCCAACATATTTGTTTATATATTGTTTATGTTGGTTGGAAAATATATATTGTACCATAATGATTAAAGTGAGAAATGCAGACTTAGAATGAATCATTTACAGTGGCCATTTAATTAGTTTCCCATTTGTCACACTAGTTAAGTGATCCTGCTTCTTTTTCTTCTTCAAATCACACAGCTGATACAGATGAGCAGGTCATGGCATACGTGTGTTAAACCTACACAGTGGAGGAGTTTATGTTTCTGTAACATAGCTAAATAAGTTCCCTTGCAGGGAGTGCATCATGATGTAGCCTATGAAAGTTTACAGCAGAAGATGTGACTAACACCTTTTGGGCCTGATCTTGCATCCTTTACTCATGAAAATTCACTCACTGGAGCAAATTCTCCTCTTAGTTGCGCTGATATAAGCAACAAAGACTTTAACAGAGTCACTCTGAAGTTACACTGGGATAACTGAGTGCAGAATTTGGCCCACTGACTTCAAATCATTCACTAGTTCAAATCACTGACTACTCATATTAGTCATGGTTGCAGAACCAGGTCCTTTATTTTCATGAATTACAGCTGAAACACATAATTTATGAATGGCAGAACACAGCAAAGCCATGAGTGGGCTGAGCACGGTCAATCCTACCAAATTACAATGAGAAATGTATCACACTGTCTGCTGTCAGGTGTAATTTATATCATACCAGAAGGGTGACTGAAAAGCAGGTATAGGCAGGAACTTACCATGCCTAGAGTTGTTCTTGTTAGGCCTGATCTTGCAAGATGCTGAGAATGCTCAACTGCCAGTGAAGTCAATGCAAATTGAAAAATGTTCAGGACCTTGCAGGATCAGGCCTATTATAAGTACAACTGAGGAATAAATATGACTGAATGATTTTTCTATTTTCCATTAGCATGAGGTGTGTGCATACGTGTTTTTGTGTGTGTGTATATATAATGTAAATAATAAGCTAAAAGTATATTTAGGATTTAAGAGCATACAAAAGCAAATAAAGCATGTAATGCAGATACAGAGGAAAATTTTCCCCTACACTTTAATTTTTAGGGTGCTGAAACTTTATTTTCTGCAACTGTATCAAAGACTCAGCAAAACATATGATATCCACGCCTATTCGGCAAAGTACTTACGCACACATTTAAGTGCTTTGTTGAACCATGGCCTATACAATTTGATTAATCTGCAATACTTGAAGCTCCTATGAAATGTTGATAGCCAAACTGAAAAGAATTTAATACCTTATACAAATAATCCCAAAAGCTCTGCATGTGTGAATATAGCTGTGCCTCCATCTATGGCCACGCATGTCATCTTTGCAGCGTGAGCTAATAGTGCTTTTCACTATTACCAGCTGTCTCACTCAGCAACACATATCCTTTTCTCCTACACCAGCTCAAGACCCAGAATCCCTCTCTCATCCATGATAATTGCAAAGGCAATTTATAACCTCATGGAAGATATTCCAGAGAGCAATGAAAACAAAAGGTTTTGTGACTTTATCTCAAGAATACCACTGAGGACCCAGAACTTTGAATCATTGGGAGTTTTGCCATTGACTTCAATGGGAATGAAAGCAGGCCATCCTGAGTAAAGAATGGGGTAACCATTTATGTCAACTCGAACACTGAAGGAACCCAACTGGCAAAATGAAACAAAATAACCAGAATCTCTCTCTCTCTAAATACAATATGTGTGTTCTGATACCTCTTTACTACATATCCCCTTTGTTTGGTTTTCTGATTCAATGATGTTATTCAAACTTTAGGATCTAAGGGTCCAATCCTGCAAACCTTTACTCGTATGAGTAGATTCACTGAAACCATGGGCAAGGATTACTTGAGTGAGAAAAGGTTTGCAAGTTCAAGCCTTAAGAGATAACACAACACATACAAATGCAAGACAATACACAACAAGATATCACACAATACACTAGTGTCTGACCAATAACTGTTTTGTACTTGCAGCTTAAAAACCAAGAGGAACACACTTTTGTTGTTTCAACAGAAGTAACAAATCTGTATTATAAGCCGAAACCTCTAAGTAAAATCTGTGCATTTATTTTAAACATATTTATATTTTGCAAGTTACACAGTTGAAGTTTCTATTAAATAACTCTGATATGGGGCATATTTTTTAAAATGTCAGCAGTGATTTTTTTTTAATGTGGAAACAGATGTGATATTTTACTGCAACTGCTGCATATTCTCTGTATTTTCTTTATGCTGTGAAACGTCTGTCTGTTTTTTTTGTTATAAATCTTTCCCCACCGGATAGATTTCTTCATTGTAATTAAATACTAGACTGAAGTCTTGAAATAGATGGTCTCCTGAAAAATCATAGGTTTTTTTGCCTAATTTTAAAATATTGGCATTTCAATTAATGTTCCTTTTCCATGGAACATTTCAATGCACTACCTAGGCTTGAACTGAAAACACAGCCATATGCTTTATGACATCAGAGGCATTTCAAGGAGTCTGCATAAATGTCATTTACTGCTTGGGAAACTGTCAAATCAGTGCAAAAATCCCTAGTTCTTCTGAAGGGAAAATACTTGAACAAAAATGTAGCTTTATACAGCTCCTTTATACTGAAAAGACTGTCCCTTTGCAGAAATACAGGTTATGTTGACAGCAGAACCTCTGACAACTAAACTGCTGACCTGATTCCTGGTTTGCATTTGGGATCAAAACTGCTTTCTTTAGCCAGTGTGACCAAACACCTTGTACTGTACATCTCATATTTCCTGTTGTTCAGATGTGAGGCATTTGACCCTTACATAGAATTAACACATTCTTATAAACAAACTATGTTATTCCTCAATCTCAGAATACTAATTTTGGTGGATTTAGTTACAAATCTAAAGCTATCAAGTATCTCTTATGAGATACTCTGGCTAATATGCTTTTAACCCTTAAATCACTGACATTCTTCTGCTGCCAGCCCAGGGCCCGATCCTGAAAAGAGCCAAACACCTGCCACGTGCATCTCCTTCCATGGCACTCCACACCTCACAGAATAAGGCCCCAAATGAACACCGGAGAGGGTTTACATACGCATATCTCTGCAGTTTCTCCTGCCTTAAAATACAGACCAGATTACATAATCCTCACCAGACATATCAGTAGCATGTACAGTAAACAATCTGCATGCAATAATTATACACAACTTTGACCTGATGTGCAGTTGCAAATAAACACATTGTGTGCTGGACGTTCTGCTGAAAATTAATGACTAGTGTCACTGCTGTTGAATAAGTGAGTACAGCTCATCTAAGAACTCCACCAACCTATACAACGGCAGCTATTATAGGACTTCTCCTGGCTGACAAATGTATCCATGAGCACCCATGTAAAAGATGGGCTACTGTTTATTTTTCAACCAAAGTTTGTTTTAAAATACAGGAACATTCATAGAGTGGTGAATATTATAGGACAGTCACATCAACAGGTGCTTCAAACATAACAGTATGGTTTGGAAGATGTTGAGAAAGAAAATGAACAAACTGTCTAAATAATACATACATTTTGAAGTCTTTTTTTCCTATAGAACTCTAGTGAAGTTAATGTATAAACTGGAGACTGAATTATGTATAAGTTTTGAATATATAATAAGTCGTGTTTCACATCCAAATATTTCACACAGGTAAATGTATATTTCCAACCAATGAAACGAAATAGGCACACAGCCTGAAAACACTGAGATCCTACCTGGAATCTGGATACTTTGTCAAGGTAGCCAGGCTGCTGGTGTACATGTGTCCTCCTACATCTATGTGCACAGGAGCATTGGATTTGGTGAGTTGAGCTGGGAGAGGAATTCCTTGAGCAGCCAGGGGAGAAACTGGGGACCGTGTTAGAGACAGACGGGACATGCTTCTTCCCTCCTGGAAACGGAAGACAAAAAAGAACAGTTTCTCTTAAATGTAACTGTGTGTTACCTTTATTTCTAGTGTGATCACAGATCTAATCAGATCATTTTTGCATCTGCCTGATCACATATTCAGCTAACAAATTATTGCCACCACTGTAATTAAGTGTATTTGCATCATTTTCTTCAAAGTACCAGAGGGGAAGAGAAAGATGCTTATTAGCAATAAGAAATCAAGAAAAAAAATTTCAAGGTGTCAGCCTCAAGGGGCATAAAACAAACTGCAAAATTCTAATTAAAGGTCGCGGGCTTATGTGTTAGATGTGAAATATCCCCTGACAAACGAATAACCAATTTGTGAATTGGGATTCAGGGGTTTTTGCAAGTTTGTCTCAGTAACGAGACACCTCTAAATTAGTGATTTCCTCAGTACCTAAGGCATTTAGTTTATACATTTAGTAAATTTCACATCAAACTATGAAAAAAAATAGATTTTATTTTTAATAATTACAAAATAAATTGATAACTATTGATTATATCTTAATAGTAGATAAAATGAGGGACTAATAAGCTTTCAAACTGAAGGAAATTAATAGCTGGAAGTAATGACAGCAGAAATACATATAAAATGACCAAAGTTTTCATGACACAAAGCTTTCACATATGCCTTATGATCTAGCATTAGAAACCAGAAATATACGTATGAACATGTGTATATTTATTACTTTAAAATATCTGAAATTAAATGGAATTGCGTCTATATATTTTTAGCTGATTTACAAATTCATGCACTGAACTTCTGCTTCTGTTAACCTAAAACAAATATTTCAAAGACTTTCAAAAACCCCGTTTGATTTGGAAGGGACTGCTAGGGCAAAAAAATATATATATATCCAAAAAGTCTTCAGGTTCTATAAGAAAAGGATGATAACTGATTCTCTCCCAGATACCAACATGTGTCTTACACAATTGATTTAAGTTAAATAAAAAATTATAGGTAACATACATGACAAATGGAAAAACTGCTCAAGCTTTTGGAAGTTCTATCAGACACCACTGTGTCTTACACAACTGAATAAAGTAAAATAAAATAATAATGAAAACATATATGACAGATGGAAAAATTGTTCAAGCTTTTGGAAGTTTTATAAAATTCTTCATCCTTTCTGTCACATATGTGTAGAACAACAGATGCAAAATATTATAGTTAAAAACATTTCTTAATATAATCTAATTTTCCCTGGTATTTTGTTTTGCAGTCATGCTACCAAACATCTAGGCGCTTCCTAACATCTGACAGACGCTTCATATGCAGTATTACAAAGTGAATGTCCAATTCTTCCAGGTTAGTTTGGTGACATTTCTAAGAATCCTAAAACTGGTTTCTCCTTTCTTTTAACAATATTTATTTTTGCACAATATGCTTGCCCAAACCATTCAGTGAACATATAATTGACAAGATTCCTTAAAAATATGGTTACCAAAATATATGGAAAGGGACTGAAAATATAATGTATCTCAACATCTTTAAAAGAAAACCACATATTAGATTAGTCTATTTCATCTAGTTTAGTTCATAACAATTTTAAACTACTCCAGTACAGAAATACATCACCCCATTATGAATCCACATCCTTTTCTCTTCAAATGCAGAATGGACATCTGCACTGAATGCGAACAAAATATCAACACTGTCCTAGAACTTCTGTGTCAGTCGATGTGAAATTGGCATTAACATTTTACTGTAGCACCACCTTCAAGGAAAATGACTGAATCCTTTAATGACTAAAGTTGTTGCTTTCTTCTTTCCCACAAGGTCCTGTTGTGGGCAACCTTTAGGAAATATGTCATATCACAAATAAAACAACTAATTTTTTAAAACACCGTAGTACTTTAGTAGCCTGTTCTCTAGTTGTCGATGCTATATCTGTCTACCAACACAGACAAGGATGTATTCCTACCAAAGAGCACAGCAAGCTCATGTTCATTCTGTACTCCTTCACTTAAATGTAAGGGTCAGTAGCTACAAGCTGAATGTCAACTCTGTCTTTGTTCTAACCCTAACTATTATCACTAATGGTAAAAGTACAGACCTTGCAGGACACAGACCTGCCTTGGAAATACACCTCATGGAGTTTTACAAAAAATATGCCTAATTAGGGCTCAACTGGACCCCTACAATTTCTAAATGAAATCAAAGAACTTGTAGTTCTCTTTAAATAAGTCTTACATTTTACCATTTGTCTTGAAATACAGACTCCAATTTTAAAATATGCACAGAAAGCTAAAGATCAAGTGATCTGAATCTATTTGTGCATATTTAAACACTGCTACTGTCTTACGATTTTGTTTAATGTTAGTACATCAGCAAATGCCTTGATCTGCAAACTGTCTAAGACTCTCTGTGAGGCCATGCCCATACAGTAGAGATATTTAATTTATGCTATTCACTGGAGGGACTTTTTGAACAATCCCCTGCTTTTGGCAACACTCAGCTACAGTATGCACTGAAAAAACACTTAATTATAGAAAATCACTGGAAAACTAAAATACTTCACAACCTTGTATGGATTTTCATACTTATTGAGGGGTTTCAGGCTTTTAATTTGGGGGAGGGAATCAGAAGAAGAACTGAAATACAGGTTTGTTTTGTTAGAGAAGATTAATATTATAAAATAACCCAAATGTTTAATAAAGCTGCGATAGCCAATCATTTTTGTATTAGTTAATCAACAAAGAGCATAGGTCTTAAACACGATCTAAACCGTGTAAAAAGCACTTCCACTAATCCTAAAATTAAATATTCCTGCTTCCTTAATCCTAGTTTGTATTGACTATCTTCTTACATGTATTTCGCAATATAAACTGCTGCTAAAATTCACCACATCAAGTAATATATTTATTTAATGCACAGAGCTGGATCTTAAAAGTATTTATCCTGTGGAATTGTGTGTTTTCTAATACTGATGTGAAAATTAAAACCTTAAGGGTAAATACTGAAGAAACATTAACAAATTTCATTTTTAAACCATGTAAAATAATCCATGTTCTTTAGTTGCCTACAAAAGGGTATAACATCACTACTAGTGGCACAAGCAATAACCCTGCTCTAATAAGTAACACAGGAACTTGCTAAAGGCAAAATCAATAGAGCCTGATTCCGAAATTATCTGAATATTTAGTTTTCCAAACATTACACACCAAGATTTTTCAGAGCCAGCTTATCTTTTTCTGCCTTTCTAAGCTAACTGCATAAGTACTGCTTGTAAAAACTATTTGCCCATGCAAAGTGAAATAATCACAATGCCATGCTCATTTACACACAAAATGATTTTGTGTCCCATTGTGCTCACAGTTGTTCAGCTCTCTAGGGGTGATTAAACTAGCTATGCTGCTACAGCTTGAGATGATTTCACTGAATCGTTTCTCCATGAAGTTGCTTCTTTGCTAAGCTGTTATTTTAACCATAAAAGGTAAACAGAAGGCAGTTGTAAGAGCTCCATTCAGCTCCATGCCCAGGGCTATCACCCTAGGGCCGAGAATGCTGAAAGACTGCAGAATTTTCCAGGGTGTTGCCTTTCTTCCTCGGAAGCCTACAGGAATACTGTTCATTTAATACACACTCTAGATGATACATTTCAGATCCTACTAAAAGAAAGACTTCAAAAGTGTAAGAACTTTTGGGCGAATGAAGCTTTCCCACCTCTGCACATAGCTTGGGGCCATGGTAACCAATACTGCTGTTGATGTTGGGAAAATACAGTAGAAATAAACTGCACAGAGCAAGGCAGAGAGCTAGGGAGAAGGGAGGTGAAAGGTTGCAGAAGAGAAACAAGAAACAGTCTGGAAGGGATAACAAGAAAAAAAGGGAAAAGAATTAAAAAGAAAGCAGCTCTGAAGGAGGGACAAAGTTAAATCAAGGAACAGACACTTAAAAGACTACAGATGGGAACCAACACTAATTAAGGATGTAAAAGTGCTTTGTTTCTAAAGTTTATTGTTGCCAGGATAAAAATTAATTGAAACTAATGCTGTTATTCACTCGTGCAGTTTAATTCCTTCATGCACATTTAAGACATGAAATGAAAACTGCAGGTTTAAGGACTTTCCATGAAACAGCTCTTCCTATAAGATGTTGAAAGGAGGCATCTTTCAATCCATATGCAGCCAGCTAGTTGTGTGTGCATCAAAGGCACAAAGTCCAGTCTGCTGCAGGACCACTGACTCGTCTTTAATGAGATCAGCACCAACATCTGTTCTCTGACTGGTTCCTTTATTGGATTCTCATTGAAGCTTTTTTTCCCCCACAGACCTTTCTTTCTTTAACAGCAGATCTATTATAGCACTAAAAGTAAAAACCACGGTTTCAGCCCCCCTCCCCCCGATACCCCATTTCAAGCACTTTGGAGAATAACCAGCTAAAGAACTTAACCTTGCACTCTCGTGGCTTCATGGCACTGTCTGTATTTCCAGGGAGGTAGGATTCAGCCCAGCCAGAGGGTCAAAATTAAAGAGACTTGGCATTACCTTTGTCTCTATAAACACGTAAACATGATAATATCCAGAATCTGCCTCTTAGGCGACTTTGAGCCGATTGTTTATTTTGTGAAACAAACCTAAGACAAAGAAGTGATGAGGTTATTTTAAAACCTTGGCCAATGGGTTACAAAATAAAGTCCATAAAACATTTGCACACAACACTGCTTCAGAAAAAACTGGACATTTGCTAGCAAGTGGATTAAGTCAGAAACTTTTTGGGAGCAGTTAGCTTGTTGAGCTCGCGTTTAAAAAAAATTCTTTTTCCCACTCTCCTCCCCCCATTCCTAGCACTCGCCAATCTATTTAGTGCAAGTTTCACGTCACCCAAATGCCTTTCCCTGCTGATGGTCAGGGAAATCACCAGGAAGCCATGCACACCGGCCACTAAACTTCTAGCTTTTTTGTTAGAAATATATACAGCAATGCCCAAAGGTAAAATTCAAAAAAAAAAAAAAAAAGGCACAACATGGCGTCCCTTACTTATTCTCACATAACAAGAAAGGAGATGCCTTAGATGAATGCAGGGGGGAAAATCTGCACCTCCGATCCTATATATTTTATGTGCAACCAATGGTGGTGAACATTGGCCAGACTAATGTATTAATTTTGCAGAAGTGTGCCACATTACATGTAGGAACAGAAATGCAAACTATAGCCTAGAGTGGTTTGAAGTCTATACCAAATCAAGCTGACTGGCGCCAGAGTTTCATTCACAGACCGCCCGTCTTTTCCATATTAAGCTTTGTCATCTGTCTTCCCCCTTTGTGTTTAGACACCCTAGAGACGACCCCAAAGGACGGACCCACAAAGTCCCCACCAGAACCAAGAGGATCTCCCCTGAAAGCAAAAGGGGGGACCAAACCACAAACCATCAACAACCCCCACAAACATCCCCCCTCCCTTCACAAACAAACAGTGCAAGGAAAAACAACCCACCAAACCCCAGATTCCCCCTCCCAGCCCTACAACGCGGTGGCAGCGGCTGCTGCCTATTGCAGCTGCCCTTTTGGAAAGTGCAATTGTTGCCAGTGCTCCTTGTGTACCATTCAAAAGCCCGGGACCCAATTAGCTCTGCCTCCTCCGCGCTGTGGCTTTGCCCCCGGATCCTTTGCCTTCTTCAGTGTTGGGGCTAGGGCGGCAGCAGCAGCCTAGGAACCCCGGGCATCGGGGCTCAGCAACACTGGCCATGCTTTAGAAAAAGGAAACAAACCATACAGATGGGCATGCATTCACACACACACACACACAGAGAGAGAGCACCAGCGCTATCAAAGGAGGGTGGAGGAAAATGGATCCTGTAGCTTTAAAAAAAACCCTCCGTCTCTTCTCCAGAGCCAAGATCTGAGTTAGTTTCAAGAAGAGGCACTTTCCAAAAAAAAAAAAAAAAAAAAAAAAAAAGCCATGCCATACAATGCGCACTCCCCAGTCCATGCAGGGAGAGACAGGAGCAGCAGTCAGAGCAGCTTTCCTTACCTTGAACACAGAAGAGAGATCTGCAAACCCCCCTTTTGCTTTGGGCTCTGTTGGGTTTGTGTGTTGATGGGTTTGTTTTTTGCTTTTATTACTATCTTTGTTCCTTAGATCCTGCTGTGATTATTATTATTTTTAAAGCTGCTTCTTCCCTCTCTCTTTTTTTACGCTTCTATTTATTTTGTGTGTGTGTGTGTGTGTGTGTGTGTGTGTGGAGGGGGGGGGGAAGCCTTAAAATGAAACTGCCGAGGCTGTTATGAGAAGAAAGGCAATAATCCCGTCTCTAAATAACAGAGGGAAGGGAGAAGAGGAAGAAAAAAGACGAATTCTTGCTCAGGGCTTTGCAAACGCCTCCAGGGCAGGGGATTAGGCTACAATTAGCTCAGCCCTTTGCTCTCGCCCTAGCTAATTTTGCGATGAAAATTGGATATTTTCCCCTCCTTTTGCTGGAGATCTCCAGATTAAAAAGATACCTTTCCAAATAAAATTATTATTAATAATAACAATAAAAAATCAGATGGCAAACCCCAACCCCCCTTCTCCTGCTTCCCACCCCCCTCCCCAAACTAACCCCCCTCTCTCCTTGGCTGCAGAATCCTTGTGCTAACGGTTTGGGTTGCCAGCTCCTCTCCTTCCTTGGCTGGGGGGATAACGGTTTAATGTTGTGGAATATCAGGCCACTGTCACGTCCTTCAATAGACTTACTGAAAAGAAGAAGGAGGAAGGGGGGGAAAAAAGCTGATTTTAATCATTGTCATTTGGTCTGATGTAATATTTCCCCAGGCATTTTCAACTAGGCATAAATTTTCAGCTCCCAAATAAGTAACGCAGGGCACGTTTCTCACATCGCTTGACTCCTCTGTTACAATTAGGGTAGCACCCACTCTGCACTTGTTGATAAACTAGATCAAGTTAACCAAAAAAAAAAAATACAACCACAAAAATACCTACAGCAATCAGGATGCAGATCGGGAGGATTTTTCGGTGGGGGGGGAGATTGCAATTATTCCCTTCCCCCTCCCCTCCGTTTTCCCTCCCCTCGCTCCCTTTTCACCCTTTGCTAATGTCTCGCATTGTAAACGCCAAATTTCCTGTAGGCCATTAAAACCAAATGACGTCTATCGACATGCATTGTGCTATTGCAGAAAGCGCCCTGGCAGGCCGCCCCTGGCCAAAAGCGCCATTTCAATTATAGCGCACGGCTAGATGGAGATGTCTGCCATGAAGATTTCCCAGGCAGACAGGCAGCTCCACAGGCGCTCCGCTGGCTTGGCCACAACAGCAGCCGCTGCTGCTGCTTCCCGTCGCTGTGCCTCCCCCTTGGAACCTCACACCAGCCCCCCCCCGCCCCCCCCGCCCTCCAACCAGCCGAGCAAAATCCTCCATAAACTTTTAACAAAAGCAGATTGATTTGGTGCCCT